CCTCCTCCTCCTCCTCCTCCTCCCCTTTCTCTTCTTTTTTTCTCTGACTACAAAAGTAATTTTCAAGTGTGGCACAAAGGTGAATGCACCAGAGAAAGGTGTGACTCAGAAAGCCATAGTCTAGGGAAAGCTGGGTAACCAGAACCCAGACACAGCTAGGCAGGAGAAGTGTCTTAGGGTTCTGCAACACGGTGGGTGACTGTGGCTCACCACCCACACACACCCCTTTTTTTTTGGACCAGGGATTAAACTTGGGAACTTTCGCTTGCTTGCTTGCTTGCGTGGCAGGCGGTAGAACCACTGAGCTAAATCCCCGGCCCTCACACACACTTTTTTAATACATAAAGAGGCTGGGGTTTTAGCTTAGTGGCCCTGGATTCCACCACCAACACCCCAACACACACATACACAAACACACACACAGCTTATGGAAATGGCAATGCTGACTATGCTGATTTGATATTACCCACTGCATAAACTGCGTGTGAGGGAGCAAGCCTATAATCCCAGCACTCTGGGAGGCTGAGGCAGGAAGATTGTAAATTTGAGTTTAGCCTGGTAAGACTTAGTGACTTTGTGAGGCCCCATCTCAAAAGAACAAAACAAAACAAAGCAAAAGGATTGAGGATGCAACTCAGCGTAAAGGTCCTGGGTTCAATCCTGAGTACTGAAAACTGTAACTTTAAAAAGCAATAGACTCTGCAGTCTAGGTAGTAGACGGAGGCTTCACATGTTTGCAGACAGACTGGATTAGATGGTAGCAGAAGGTGGGTGGCAGACAAGCCTCACTCTGCGACCAACACCTCCCTTCTCAGAAGTATCCTACCCTCCTGGTGGCACACGTCTGTAATCGCAGTACCCAGGAGGCTGAGGTAGGAGGATCACTGCACGTTCAAGGCCAGCCTGGCCTACATAGTGAGCTCAAGCTCCACTACGGAGTGACACCCTGTCTCTAAATAAATACATAAATAGAAGTAGCCCACCCCTTCCAGGTTTCTCCTCTTCAGGGGCACATAGTGTCCTTCTATTAATTTAACAGTTGAAGTGGGGTTTCTAAACTAATAAAATAAGTCTGAGCCCACTGATGGTATTTCCTGAACCAAACACCAACGGTTGCCATGGCAGTAATAAATGGTCTGTGCAAAGGTGCCCTTCAGAGACACACTTCGTCCCAGAACAGCTCCTCACTGCCTGCGTGAGGCCCAGCCCATCTCCTGACACGGCCCTACCCACTCCGCCAAGCTTTCTGCCCCACATCCACCACCGGCTTTTGCTCCTGAGGGTCCTCTGAGAAGGACACTTTGCCCTCACCACCTGTGCAGGCCACTGAGCTCCCAGGGCAGACTGTCCCAGCCCACCTCTGCGCAGCCTTCCGAGGCTGCTCCTCACCCCATAAGGCCCCACGCTTTCCTCTTAGCATCGACCGCACTGGCCCCCCGATTTGATCTTGAGTGCCCTGAGGCAACTTGATTCGTATCACTTGGCCACTGAAGGGCTAACGAGAGAGCGGCAGCTTCTGACATGGGACAGGGAGAGGAAGACTCGAACACGCAGCAACCTTCCAGGGCGGGAGTGACCTCTCACATGGCGCGAGCCGGGAAACCGAGGGCTGGGGTGGAGGGACTTGCTCAGAGTCACACAGCCAGGAAGGGATGGAGGAAGAATTAGAAGCCAGG